GAGTCTGGATGCACGTTGGTGTTGACATAAATTTTCAATTTTTTATGACTTACCGTAATGTGATTTTGATCTGGCAACACATTGTCGCATTGTCTCCCAGTGAGGTGTCGAGACTTGTTGCGGGAATCTATTTATAATATCATGTGGAATCCTATTTGTTATAACGAGAGGGATTTAATTACCCGTGCATATCAAATGAAGCCCATGATACTAGAATACTAGAAAAAGAAAGATAAATACAAGGAGAAAAAATGTCACTGTAAAACAAAGTAAAGGACATGTAAATGATACAACAGCAGTTGCTAATCTATGCAGACATAATAAAAACGCTCCCATTCGTGAATCAATAGTTACACAGTGTATAGAATTAACCCGTCTTAAACAGGAGTCAGTTATATGACAGTTTACAAGGGATATTATGTCGGTGCCGGCGGTTTATATTACAGCCTCTGCCCTCTGTAATGTCCGGCATGAGCACTTGAGCTGTTTCAAATACAATGCTATTGTGTACAATGTACTGTGGACAGACTTGTGTTTTTTTGTGTAGTACATGTTTGTGCTAGCTTACACAGAGCTATGTTTGTGTGATGTTTGTGTGTGATGTGCGCACGTGTGTGTGTATGTGTGTGTGGTTATAAACGTGATCGGATATGCTGTCTTGTGTGTAGGAACTTGTTGCTTTGTTATAGAAGAGAATTGGATTCTTGTTGGTACATGTATTTGTTTTAGTTCTGTTTTGTTCTCCAGTAGTGAGGATGGTTGGCTGGTGCTCTGGTGTGGTTTGCTTTTTCTTTCCTATCGAACATCTATCATGCTTATCTCCCTTTCTTCTTTTTTATGTTTGTTACTCTCTTGTAACACCTCTAATCTTCTGATGCTCATAGGCCTATGACCTGTAATGCAGTTGCGAGGGCCGTAAAACCTCTACTTAAACTAAAACTCCAGTAGTTCTAGTCCTGGCTTCTATTTGTTCAAGTTATAATTTAGAAGTTATGCTTAATTAAAAAATACAGAGTTGTTATAAAAAAATGTTTTTAAGGATATTGTTAGTGTTTTGTTGAATACATAGGAAATTTTGTTTTAATTTTAATAGAGAAAGAAAATAAAAAACCTGTTGAAACTTTTTTGGTCCATATGGCTGCTCAGTATTCAAAATGTTCTGTTTCAGGAAACCTTACATTTCTTCATGTTTTGCTCTGAAGTCTGTTTTCCGAGGATTCCAATGCTTCTGTTTTCCCTGATGGGTTGAGACTTTTTGACAACCCTATAGAAAATTTAACAATCTGTTTTGACAGATGTATCACATGTTCCTATTTTGCTTCTTTTTCATTTCCAGCTGAACTTATCCTTTTGGTATAAGGAACTAGGATTGTGGAGTTGAGGCACTACTGAGCCAGACTGGCTGGCTGCTCCAAACTCCTGTCTATAGTGTTCAGGTGCTGGCCAGTTTTTAAAAGCAAGACCACATCTGTTGACAGCTTTGGCAGCTCTGGGGTTAGGAGTGGATTTCTTGTCCGTGCCAGCATGAGTATAGTAAGTTGTTAGATGTTTTTGTAGCTTCCTGTGTTGTTTTTCTCTGCTTATGTCATCTTTCTTTTCCCTGTTGCTGTTTTTATTTTTACCTGTTAAGTGCATAAAACCCATAACCCCCCCAGGGCAGTGCTACTGACTGAAGTTGTCTTAAGGCCATTCCCAAAGGGGGGATATTAAATTTAACATGCTCTTATGGGCAGTAGAATTGTAAATGTGGGCTGATTTATCGTCATGCTCATACTGTGCCGGAACAACATAAGGGGAACTGCTGCTTTTTCTTTCCTCATCATTACTATCGTCTTTTTTTCCTCTACTTCTTTTGTTTGTTTGTCACTCTCTTGTGAACTGCTATTTCCAGGGTGCCTTGATAGTCAAAGCAGACTTTGTGCTGTAGAGGCTAGAGATGTGAGTAGAATAAGCCTGATTCCCCGTTTGAACTTCTCTGTTGACATCCACCCCTTGGCGCTCATATGACCTTATGCAGTTGTGAGCGACGTAGAACCTTACTAAAACTAAACTAAAGCCTATTTCTTAGCAAAGGTATGCATGGTATAAAGACGAGTGATTGTTATTTTCTGAGTAATGTTTTGAAAATGAGGGAGTTATCAAGCAGAACAGCTGTAATGTAAGTGAAAAACAGCATAGACAAAAAAGTAAAGTACCTTTTTTAACGAATTGATCTCAGAGTTTTAAATTTATGTGCCTTCGTTATAATAAAATATTTTGTTGTTGTTGGAATCAATAAAAGAATTTTAGAAACTGAAATTAATGTTCTACATTTCCTTTCAACCTCAGGTACAGGATTCTGGCTCGGAAGTAGCGCGCTATGACTACACAGAGGATGACTTTGTGCTACACACAGCGCCATGGGCGGACGGCCAGCCCTCACAGCTCAGTCCGGTAAGCCGGGTTGAATACAGTCGAATCTAAGGCAGTCACCAATAGTTGAGGAGAAAAGTAGTAGTCTTAGACAGGTGGATATCTTGAACAGTGGGTCAAAATGCAGAAAAAATGCCAGGTGGGAAGTAGGAAGCGGTCATTTTACAGGTGATTGTCTTAGACAGGTGGCCATTAGAGCGGGTTTCATTGTGTTTGATAAGTAGCAATTATTTATTTATAAGTGGCTTGACCTGTCCGGTGTGAGTCCATCTTTTAGCTCTTCTTTCCTTTGTGAAATTATTGATTGAATTACCTTTGTCTTACTTACTACTGATAGGTTTTATTAAAAGCCCGACTTGGAAATACTTATAGAGGGGGTGGTACGAAAATTGTAGCCTCTTTACTCTTTCTGTACGTTGTGTTTTACTATGGTATCCATACGACGTGGGGAACTCGGTGCCTCCACTTTTCAAAAAGGAAATTTACTTATTAATCCTATTCGTACACTTTGCATAGCAGTCTGTTAAAATGATTTTTCGAGAAATACTAAAAGTTTCAAAGAGATCTTCGTGCTAGAAGTACAGCCGAACCTGTGTAAGACGGCCACCCATTGTCAAGGAGAATAGTGGCCGTATAAGACAGGTGGTCGTCTTAGGCAGGACTGATTAAGATGAAGAAAACAAACCAATCCTTTCTGAGGTCCAAACTGAAGGTAGCCGCATTATTGTTGTTGTTGTTTTCGCTGGGTTTTTTTTTCTTTTTTATTCTTTTCTTGCTGCTTTTGTGCAAGGGTGACAATAAAACGAAATGTGGACCGAGTGCTATGGTAAAACAAACACATGGGTCGCCACCACTTGGAGAACGAGCAACGCTTCTGTCACAAGTTCATGTTTACGTCCATTGTTACTTTGTTACAGACTGGGTAGACAGTGACCACTCATCTCACTTACGATTTGTGTATGAGTTCTGGGCGGGGCTTATGGGTTATTAGGGATCACACGCTTACCTCACCAGCAGCTGACAATTTGTTACCTATTGGTCAACAGTGGAGGGACTATCTAACAACAACGACAGGTGATTGGATTATGACAGCTCGCCCACAACGCCAGGGGCCAATGCTCAATTTATGACAAAATGTATTGGAGTCTTTAAGGTGGCCGTCTAAGACAGGTGATATTATATAGTGTGATAGGAGTTGTGTGTTAAAATATGGTGGCTGAGGCCGCGTTGGACAGTTGCCTGTTTTACACAGTTAAATTATATAGAAAAAACGCAAGGAAGGAAACGGAAAGTGGCCTTTTGTACAGGTGGCCGTCTTATAGAGGTGGCCGTCAGAGCAGGTTCGACTGTATTCTAAAATGTGAAGAATACAACCCCGGGGGTACGAAATGACCCCAGGGTGTACGGATAGGGTTAAATGAGACAAAAGTAAGCGCCGGCTCAGTTGAGGGCGTAAAAACACAAACATTAAAAAATATATTAAAAAGCAGAGTGTTTTTATGGGAATTTCTGCGTTTAGTGGTGAATAGCAGTATTTTTATAAAGAGGATGTGAAATGTCATTTTATCTGCCCACAGTTTGACAAGGAGCTGCACAAGCGCTGGGATGCAGCAATGGCCGCAGGAGCTTTCCGCTATGGGATTGACCACATTCTGACCCGAATTATCCCGGGGTCAAAGGGCTATGTTGGCCAGGTTAGCTGAGTTCTCAAGTTGAGAAAAAAGGGAGGGATATGCCTGGAAGAAACGAGATTCTGGGGAATGCTGTGTTCATTGCCGTTGTCTCGTTTGTTCTTAGGGATATTTTAGGCCTTTTTTGGTGACTTGTTTGTGGAGAGCACATCTTCTAGTGAGATTACTGAGACTGTTGAGTGGAAATAGTCTTTGCACCTGTTCTTTGATAGAAAATACATGCCCAGACAGCAATCTACATTAATATGAAACAAAATTTGTCAATTAATTTTTATAACAATTTGCAGGTGTCAATATTAATAATTACCCTTTGGGTTTAAACCAGTGTGTTTTTTACTAAATGTTCCCATTGTGAACTGGATTTTAATATGTCTCTTTCATTGAAGGATTTGATCAACCAGATGGTGAACTTACACTGCATTATTGTCGACATTTTATTTCTTTTCATGGCTGTAAATGACTGACATAATCATGCAATGAGTACATGGATGTTAAGTGCTACATACTTTTTGTTTTGTATTGTGAAGGCATTGTCCTCTTTATTGTATTCATATAGCTATGCATTGTCAGGGGTATGTGAAATGTTCGTGGTATACTAGGTCGTAACTTTGTTCACCCCGTTGGCAGACTGCTAAAAATGAAGAAAGAAGAAATGAAGTATGTGTTATTTGATAAGTAGATCTTCCAACCCAAGCCTAGGCTAAACCTCATGCAGTTGTGGCTGTCTGTTTGTGTTGTAAAAAATGTTCAGGCCCTTTTCTATTAAAATACCGTAAATTTAGGTTCCCACTTGCTTGTGGTTTCTGCCATCAGAAAAAGCTAATTTTGTAGATTTCCCTTTTTTTTACATTTATTATTTGTTTAAAGTATATATATATTTTTTAAATAAAGAATATCTGAACAGGTTTGAAAAGTTATTTTTTTGTATAGTATATTGCAACAGTAAATATCTGCAATAGTTTGAGTCTGATTTGATGCAGTAATAATAATAATAGAGTAAAGTGGTATCTTAACAGCGGTATCTTTCAAAAGTAGGGAGAGCTATGCTAATTCAGAAATTTCGTTTTATAGTTTGATCCTATTTATTTAAGGACCAAAGATTAGTTGTTCACATAAGGATGTCAAGGTGTGTGATTTATATTTGGTCTTTTGCTTAGCTAATTTTTCAATGTCTTTGTACTTTTTGCTGTGTACAGCTGAACACACTGAGGGCCACAGAGAGGCGCAAACCTCAAGAGATCAGCAGCGTGTCGCAACCATTCAACCCAAAGGCTTTCAACTTCACATGGATCAAGCCTGGAGAAGTAATCTTTGATCTGCACAACACCACGGATGGTCCCTTGAAGAACGGTGACGCGTCTGCTGCAGGCGAGGCTGGCCATGTCTCTGATGGTGCTGTGACCAATGGGCATGCCCAAACTACTGAGGCCGCTCAAGTAAGTGACAAGTTTTTTTTTTTTTTATGTTTTAATTTTTTAAAAATTGTTTCTATTTGTGTGTTTTTGTGTGTGATGCCGATTTTGTTGTTTTTATTTGATGCTGTCAATTTCATTCAAAGTGAGAAACGGGTTTTTTTTATACTAAATCTGAAAATGACAAAAATATCACAAAATGGGTAATTAAATTAAAACAAGTCAACCTATTTTGATAAATCTTCATCTTATGAATGAACTCTCTAAAAATGAGACGAAAAATAATTTGATGTCAAAGTTGTCATAAAGGAATGCGCTCGAGCCGCTGCTAGCGGTTCACCGGCACAGAGATTCCGACCACGAGCTGTTGGGAGCGCCTTGCTGGAGATAAAGAGTTCAGTTGCTTTATTAATAAAGATGAACGAGACTCAATGATTGATCTGCCATCTTGTCTTCAATCTACTATCTTTGAAGTTGAAGATGTAATGGGATAATGCTTAATAGGAAGATTTACCATTCAGTTAATTCGAAATAAATCTATTTGAGCCTTTTCATATAATGTGTGCACTGTTATTCAGGGTGGGTGGTTGGCAGGTGCTCTGGTGTGGTTTGCTTCTTCTTTCCCATCGAACATCTATCGTCATTATCTCCCCTTCTTCTTTTTTATGTTTGTTACACTCTTGTAACAGCTCTAATCTTCTGGCACTCATATGACCTTATGCAGTAGCGAACGCTGTAAAACCTCTACTAACACTAAACTGTTATTCAGGTGTCAGCAAATGGCGTCGAGCACTCAGCGGAGGGAAAGAAGAGTGCTGTCCATCGACTTGTCATCAATGTGAGCCCCATGGAGTACGGCCACTGTCTCTTAGTGCCTGATGTCTTTGGTGAGAGGCCACAGGTGGGACATTTTTATTCTGTCTGAGAGTCTTCAGTTTTTCTTGGGATAGTTGAAATTGTCCAAGATGGCCACCCTTTGTCGAGGAGAAAAGTGATTGTCTTTGACAGGTGTTTGTTATGGACAGAGTTGTTGAGATATTATTTAAAATGCAAGGGGATAAGTGGTTATTTCTACTGGTGATTGTCTTGGGCTGGTTTGACTGTATTAATATATCTGTGTTGTTTTATTTTTTAAAATTTCGAAAAGCCATTTTTAGAAGTAAACTAACTTGCATTGCAGATTGTTTTTGTTGATAGCAAGGCTTTAAGAGCTAAATTAGTATGGTTGTTCATGATCTTGGTCTCCTCTCTTACCTTTTTTAAGGCTCTTTTTACTTCTTCTCCCATGCACGGATGAATGGCAGGTGCTCTGATGCAGTTTACTCCCTTTTTCCTATCAAACATCTATCATTCTTATCTCTCCCTCTTTT